ATCTATACAAAGAGAAGATCATGTAAGATATTTGAGTAATAAAGGGCTGAAACATGAGCTTTATCAGGTTGAAGAGCATGTGTCCTACTGAGATAGTCGCTGTGTGCTGCTCTCTTTCTGGGAGGGGGGACCGTGGAAGGTAAAGGTCCCTGACAGGCCCCCAGCCTGCATCTATCAGCTGGGTCATTTAATTATCCTAATTATTGTCTCGCCGTCCACCATGTCAGGCCACAGACCTTCGTTAGTGTCTGTTAACGCGCTTGTCTGCTGGCTGCTGAGGCTGGTTATCATTTTTGTTATCATTCCATGTTTTGTCCTCTTAAGATAATTAGTTTAGATGGCATCAGTGTTTGATTGTCATGGTTGGCTTTCAACGGTGAATCGACTAGATTTTTTCCCTAAGAATTTAATTCCGAATGACCTATTTTTACAATAGCCTGGCTATTAGTAAAAATTAAAAGAATCATTCTTCGAAAAAAAATGTATGCATCATTTTTAAAAAATCATGGAATTGCAGTGGGAAAATATCATGATTAAGAAACCAAGCATTCTGTTAGTTCTGTAAATGTTTTGGAACACATTCAGAAGGAAGCCTTAAGTGTTTTCCTGGACAACAGTTTAGCTTCAGCAGTCGTAATGTGTAAGGAAATGGCTTCAGTTTATATAATATCTGATGTATCATTCACATGAGCTGTATTCAGCCCATTTAGATACATTTATAACCGAGTCTTGGGGATTTTTATCTATTGCTGAGTTAAATTAATCCATAGGCTGTGGGACCTCCACCCTCCTGGGAAATGTATTACACCCCCACCCCCCCACAATGCTTTGTGTACGGTTGTGTTCAGATGTAAATTGGTCCCCAATGGTTTCCATTTCAGTCCTAAGTCTCGAGTCGGTGGTAACATTAAAGTATTCATCAGGGTTGACCTTATCTGTACCCTTCTGCATTTTGCAAACATGGATTCATGCCCCCCCACTCGAATGGCTGGCACGGTGATAAAGACACTGATGCTTCTCAGTCATTGACATCTTTCTTCATAGTTGTCTGAATCCTCTGTATAGTACCTGTAGTGAACCCTCATCCCGAGGGAATCGCTTCGCATTTATCCTTGTTGAAATTCATTTTCCATGTGTCCACCCACACCATAATTTTACTTGCACCATCTAATTTTGCACTCCAAAATTTAACAAGTTTATTGAGCATTCAGGAATTTGTGTGTTAGAGTACCTACAGAACCGTGAGGCACTCTGCCAAACACCTTCACTGCATGCCTTACATCCTGCCCGTCAAAATGTGGTGTTTCATGTTTGTTTGTAACCTTTATTACAAACCAATATGAAACACCACAATGTACCTTGAATTCCACTGTACCTTGTATTCTAGGATTAGATTTTCATGATCAACAGTGTGGAATATCATTTGGAATTATAAGTAAAGATTTCATTTGATTTCTTTCTTTGTGCTCATTTCATTCCAAGAAATTGCCTGGACTGAATTCATGCTTCTACAGAAATTTTAGCAAGCAGAATTGCCCCCTTCTCCGAGTTTTTTACTTGCATTGTCATATAGAGAAATATTGATAGATGAGTAATTTTGACAGTGACGCTCTTCTGCTTCAGTTTAGATCAGATGGACTGAATCGGTGTCTAAGCTTGGACCATTTTTGCAGGTTTTCATAATTAGCACTTGGAAAATTGGTCTAACCGTCTCCAAAAAAGCCGATCATGTTGAGTTCCTGTGTTTGGGAACCTAGTAAACACAAGGCCATGGTGGATGAGCACAGGAAGAAGGCGGTTCCTCTCTGAGAGCAGAGCAGGTCTGGGCGTTATTTAATTACTGGGTTATAAGCGAGGTACGTCTCTGACCTTTTTCCTGGTCCCTTGCGGGCTCCTTGCGCAGCGCCTGATCTGACGTGCTCTCCTTCTGACTCATTAGCTAATATTTATAGCATGCCATGGCTAACAAACCTGACAGTACCGTAATAAACTCTCCGGGACGGGCTCCATTGCTTGTCGGATATCGTGACTGTCTGAGTGAAAAGGTTAGCCCACCTCCCCTCCTCTGCATCCCTTTCTTTGTTGCATTACACTGCTTCCAGGTTGATTTAAGAGAAGGTACATGCCATGTGTAAAATGCAGTTGTTACTAGTAGGGTGGTAAGTTTATATGACGGTAATAAGTTTCATTTGCAAGCGTTTGCCTGACTTGGGAATTTAGTTTTAATTATTCCTACTGCAGCTGCTAGCCTTCAGGAAGTGTTACATTAAAACCGATGTACATAGGTAATTACAATTGTTAATATTACTCACCTGTTATACACTTATTTGTTCTTATAAATTTCAAGTCTTTCTGTTTAGCCACTGTGATATTGAAAGTCATGGAGTAATCCTCAAGGCTGTAGGAACACGTGATCTTGGGCTTTTACCTCCTGTTAGACAGGAACTGTCGTAAATCTGGTCAAACGCAAGACAGCACCATTACTATAAATGACCAGCTTTCAGATGGGAACCAAGATTGATGGATAAAGTTAAATTGTATTAGCTATGCAGTTTAAATATTTTACACAATCTTATCATAACTGTTCTTAACAATTAAAAGTAAAATAGAGTCAAGTCTTCTTCAGTATATGTCATGTAATATCACACACACCCCCCCCCCCCCCCAGTGCCTTTTCTGGACTGTGGGTCAGGAAATCTGTGTCAGCCATTCTTTCAGTTGTCCTTGGCTTAGCACTCACCTGAAGGTAAATGTTTATGACAAAATTATCATTAAAACTCTGCAGTTTAATATGGCCAATTAAAACTATATCTTCATTTCCAACCAAATGAAACTGCAGGCTTTATTGGGTACCAAAATAATGGAATGCGAAGGTTGGACGTAAGGCGTTAACCCTCGTCTGGCCGGATTTCGAAATTTGTCTTTTTGAGCAACTTTTTCAAATCATTTCTCTTTTACGTCTGGTTTTGTCAGATTGTTTTATCAAAACATAAAAAAACTTTTTTTTTTCTTTTTTACTGTCTTACCATTTGCATTTAGTAATTTTATAAGTGAAGTAATGTCAGTATCTGCGCAAGATATCTCAGATTAGCACACGGTCTGTTTTGTCAAGGCAAATTAAATCCTAATGGTATCCGCAAAAAATGATCCGATTCCCTCATTCCTGAGCTGACATCAGAGGGATAACCATTCTTTTCCTTGCTCCTCTAGTATGGCTCTAGTACTTAATTTTTTCTAGGTGATGATATTATACCTCAGTTTATCTACAAGGTGCAAAATTTCTGAAATGTTTCAATCTGTACATGCCGAAAAATGTCAATTTTCAGTACCATGTAGTGATTAGGATGCTTTTAAAGTATGCCATACAACGCTCCACAAGTCCGAGAAAACCCTATGTATTGATCTAGTTTTTTCGCTTCTACTCTGATGTGTTTACTGGTTAAATAATAATGAATTTGGCCTGTATAAATAACAGTAACTACTCCAGTAAATACTGCAGGTCTTTTATTGCATCATAACCTTCCTTATGTGTACTTTTATTCACATCTGTGAGCTTGTTAATTTGTTAAAATCCCACTCATCGGTTTTCATTGAAAAGATATTTTTTTCTTCATAATTTTAACAGATTCACACACACACACACACACACACACACACACACACACACACAAAGTGTGCTACTGTGCTAGTTTTCTCTGTGCTTGTTGGGCCTGGTTGAACTTTCGAGTGCTTTGATTTCTTTTGTATATATGTTCATGTTTATTTTGTAGGTTAAACTGCTGTCTGCCTGGGTCTGCTTGTAGATAGAACCGTACAATTTATACTATTTACTTAAGGTACTCTAAAACTAGTGAGGGAAGAATGGTTTTACTTGTTTATTTTTTTATCTGATATTCACCACCAGTTGATCAGTGTTGCCTTGATCATACATCATATTTACACACAAACCTTGCAGATGTTCTTTATATTTTATGTTCAACCTACATACTTGTGTAATATTAAATCACACACGACTCTTGCAGTAGCTATATGCCAGGAAAGGTCAAAGAGCCTAATAAGGTGTGCATTGGTGTTCTGTAATACCTGTCCATCCCTCTCTCCTGGTCCGGGTGTTTCGGGACCCCACTGCCCTGCTTTAACAAAGCAGATCGATAGCTGTGAAATGACGAAGCTTCTGAAAATCCCTCCCCAGTTTGTCAGTGATTAGCGGAGAGGCTAAGCTGAATCGATAGGGGCTGTGGGATGAATTGACGTTGCCCTTTCGATATGATAATACCGAGAGCTGGGGAGGAATAATGAAGCTCTTAGACCAAGCACAGTAATAATAGTGAAATAATTGCCGGGCCTGTAGTGGCAACAGCCTTTTCATCCTCGCATGGCGGATCCTCTGGGAAGGCAGCGCTGGTGTGGGGGAGACAGATGGGGGGAATCGCAGGACCCCCCACCATGATGAGCAGTTATGGACTGGTCTTCCAGCAGACAAACCCTTAGACTTGGCTCTCTGCTAGTTCAGCCATTAGTCTACTTGGTGTGCCCTGCTTTGTCCCCAAATGGTGGATCAATGCAGTTTCCTCCAAGTCGGGCAAGGATGTGCGTCTTCTAGGTTAACGTGTTTTCTTTAGTATTGTTTTTTTTTTATATATATATATATCTGGGTTTATTTTTGTTTTCACAGTAGTGGTAGTAGTTCAACAAAGCTAGTGTTGAACAATGCAATGGAAATGGAAAGTCAAGATGATGGTGTCATATCTTCCGAAAATAATTTAAATGTCTGAAAGGGCACAGATGTTTCTGCGTTACATTGCTGTAAGTGTTTGCGTTTGCTGGTATGTTCAAACACGATCATGTTCTTCACAAGGGGTGCGGGTAGTGTTTATCTTTTTTTTTTTTTTTTCTTCCGCTTTTAATAATGTGTAGGTATGTTCAGGCTCACAGGGTGCCGTTCATGCTGATGCCCTGCCTAATTATAAGCCCATGCATTGTTCTCTTGCCTTTTATAGTGGCCCAGAAGGTCGTTGCCACCCGGAAGAAGCAGCAGCTTTCCATCGGACCCTGTAAATCTCTTCCGAACTCCCCCAGCCACTCATCTGTGTGTGCTGCCCCTGTGTCAGCCGTGCACATTACCCAGGTGAGTGAGCCCCCCCACACATTGAGACGTATATCTAAAACCCGTAAGGGTGTTAAACCTATTTAATCTTTTGGCCAAGCTTTTATAATAGGCAATTGCTATAATTAGGTACCAGCAGGTGAGCATATTGATTGGAAAAAAGTATCTAAACTGGGCCAAAGTGCTTCAGATTTAACTTGGTTCTCTGTCCAGAATTGCCAGATTTAAGTAATGTTTTCAGGAAAAATGTCTTACTCTTGAGTCAGTCTCTGCCTTGTCATTATTTCTTTCCAAAACGAACCTGAAATTATCTATTGAAATGCAATGACTTTTCAACAGTTCGACCAAAAACATTCATCAGTTTCACCCTTTGTTTTATTATAGAAGCCTGCACCTAACTAGGAAATTTCACAAACTTAGGTACTAAAAAAGGTTGTGTCCCTGTGAGGAATGTGGGACAGATCCAACTTTCTGACATTAGGACCTATAGTCAGTTAGCCAACTCCCTCAGCAGCAACCAGGTAGCCTCTAGTCCTCAGTTAAAGGCTGAGTCTGTATTTGTTTATTTGCAGTCTTTTTGTCTCCTTGCAGGCCAGTAATGGCGGTGGGGGCAGCCTGAGTGAGTACTCCTCTTCCGTACCCTCTACTCCAAGCACCAGCCAGAAGGAGCTCCGTATCGATGTCCCCCAGACAGCCAACACGCCCACCCCTGTCCGCAAGCAGTCCAAACGCCGTTCCAACCTTTTCACGGCAAGTAACTCTCCCTATGCCCTTTTTAGGCAGTTTAACACAGTTTAGGGGGTCCTATTTGTAACAGGAGGAAGATGAGTGAGTCTAAATGGAATGAGAGGTTTATGAGTCAGTATGTCTGTCTGTCATGTCTTTGTCAGTAGTGCACTCTTTGTCTATAGTTCTTTCTGTCTCTCCGTCTGTATGTCGCTATCTTGTGGATCATTAGGGAGTTCAGGAGTGATTATAAACTCAGCTGCAGATCAGGTTCTAATTTAGATGTGGGGCTTGACAAATGATGAGTTTATTTCCCTCAGTGAAATGAGAAGCAGTGCTTTTAACCAAACTGAATCGCAGATGAGGGTCTGTGAGTGTGGGTGCTGACCGGGGGGGATTCTCTCTTCCCCACAGTCTCGGAAGGGGAACGATCCAGACAAGGAGAAGAAAGGCTTGGAGAACCGTGCGGACAGCATTGGAAGCGGCCGAGCTATCCCAATTAAACAGGTACCGTCTTGGTGTCCGTCTGGGCCCGGATAATTGGGGGCCGGCAGCAGAGGATTGTGGGAGAGAGGGGCTGTGATCAAGCGTCAGAGGGAAGCAGGGCGTTTGTTGCTCTCTCCTTGATTATCAGCGAAAGCAACACACTTGACATCAATTAGAGACAGGTTCTCCAGTGTATTGAAATGAGATCATTAGGATAAGGAGTGGGAAGATCTCTGTATCCCCCCCACCCCGAAGATGGGGGAGCAAAGCCAGATGATCCTAATGAAGTACTGTCCACGGCTTGGCATATGGCTCTGGCTGGCTCTCAAAGGCCCAGGTTATCCTGCGGAGCTGAGCCCTTTGATGGGGGTGGGTGGCGCCCCCTCGCTGTGTGTGAGAGATGGCTCTAGCAGGCCTTCATTTGTCACAAACACAGTGAGAGCGGCACGTTTTGGCGGGGGGGGGGGGGGGGATCTGCGTCTCCTGTGTGCTTCAACTGGAGTGTAAAAATCAGGCAATTAGCACTGCTAATCGTGGCCCCTCGTGTCATCGCCGGGCCTTGTTTGTAATTTTCTAATGAACAAATTGCATCTCTGATTAGAGCTGCCTTTAGATGAGATCTGTTTATTAGCGCGCTGCAGCTGTGATTAGCACGCCGCGGGCTCGCGGGAGCGCCGTGCGTCGCGGAAGCGCCGTGCGTCGCGGAAGGAAGAGGGCTGGCGGAGCGCAGAGGCCAACGCTGCTCACTTCACACTACTGGACGTAAACGTCAGGTTACATACGGGGGGTTTGGGCGTGAACTGTTCAGACCCATCTTGCTGTGAAAACTAAAAACTTTAAAAAAAAAAAAAATTTTTTTTATCTGATTTCACTTCAGAATTCACACACTCAAAGGAGAGTGGGATATCACCCCCAGCACCACAGGTGCCTGTTGAGCAGTAGAGGTCACTGTAGAGCAGTTAATCAGAGGGGGGACACCATTCCCTTGTCCCCCTGACCGAGCTCAAGCCCATTTATCCTCAGCTGGTCACGCGTTGTGAACGTGGCATCGCTCTTTTTTTGTGATACGTGGTTGATGTTGAAGATTTTCTTTAACCACATAAATCCTCTTTCACCATAACCATTGTGGGAGAAGCTGAAATGTGTTTTGTGTGATTAGTTTAACAACTAAGCAATGGTTACTGTATCTAGAGATTAGAGATCTGCAGAGATGATTTGGATGTCTGATGCAAGGAGGGCTATGATCTAAAATCAATATTACAATATTTTTTAAATATTTACTTCAAAAACTATAAATTCACAATATTTTTTTTCCCATCCATCCATCCATCCATCCATCCATTTCTTGTAACCGCTTATCCTATGCCGGGCCATGAGGGGTCAGGAGCCTATCCTGGAGGTTATGGTCATGGGTGTCGTAGTTTTTAAGGGGACAACTCACTTAAATGAATAGTAGGAGAAATATTTACCAAGAAAATATTCCCATATTAGTAAATTTCAGTAGTTTAGTGCCGTTCTATGTGGTATCTGTAAATTCTTGGTTTAATGCCTTACCCATGTTTGCGTGCCTTGTTTCATTGTTAAAAAATCTCTCTAATAGTTGTATTTGCATTTCAAATTCATGTTTGTTAATTCTTGATTACTTCTGGGCCTTTTAGGTTGCATGCAGATCTGCCCAGATACAGTCATGTGTCCCGTGAATGTGGAAGGTGGTGTGGCTGCTATCTTGCGGCATCATGGCCACTCTGTGTTGTTTCCTTTGGAAACCGGTGAGGCTGTCTGGGTCATCAAGGAGGATGCAGGGCGACATGGTGTTACACTGGGTTTTGGGACATCCGATATTCCTTCAGGTTAAAGTCCACCCAGCCGTCGCCCGTGCACAGCCTCTCTTCACATCAGCGGTGTCGGTCGCTTTACGGCGCAGATTCTCTCTAATTGGACTCTGTGGAGAGGTGGCGAGTGTTTGGCCAACAGGAGCAGCAGAGCCTGCCGTGGCGCTAATGAGCGCGCTCACCACGGATGGAAACAAGAGCCGAGCGGCCTCCGCTCTGAGGCACGCGACAGAAATTAATTTTGGAATTAGACGTTAATTGTTTTGATAATTCCCTGTGGTCTTTCCTCTTCTGAATGCGCTCGCGTCGCTCTCCATCTCCCCCCCTGCCTTTCATGAACTGTGGTGACTGGCCGGCCGGCCAGGCGGTCAGGCTAATTAGGCATCTGGGGGAGGGTCTACCTGCCCTTCATCGGCTCTTGCTTCTTGCTTGCATTTATGACCGCTGGCCTCCATTCACCCCTCTCAGGCCCCCAGACGACACCCCTATATCCCTGTGCAACACAGGCGCGTGCTTCGTTTTTTTGGCATCTCCTGCGTTAATCGCGTTGGCAGGTGTCTGACTGTGTTAGCTTGGCTGTGGAGCGTCCTGTCATGGCGTGTGCCATGCACCTAACACGCTCGCTGCGGGGATCGCTTTTAATTGTCAGTCAATTACCTTTTTATTTCCGTTAAGAGCGGGTTTTAAACGCATATTTATTGCTGGGCAGCATTCAGTGGCTGTCCGTTTCCCTCGTTTATTAGTGCCATTTTAACGATCGGGCATCATTCACTAGCTAGTTATGGGCCAAGGTCACTGACAGCGTGAGGCTGGATGAGTACAGAGCCCCAATTTTTAAGGTATAATTTCCAGTGCAGCTGGGACTGCGGTCAGTATTTTCCTTCAGGTCCTCTCTTATGCGAGTTCTGCGGCTCGAAGCAAAGACTTAGTGTAAACACCCAGCACTCTAGTGGTCGCTGACCCCTGGGTCAATCTCCCAGCATCTCATTCTGACCCACTCCGCACAGCCAGCGCTGGGGCGACGCAGATCTGAGTGTAGCCTGACGCCCCCGCCAGGCGGAGCGCGTTTGAAGTGGGGTGCGCCTCCGCCTCCGGCCTGCTCTCATTAGCAGCCCATTGTTCTGACTCTCAGCTACAACGAGTCGTTTGCCTTCATTACAAGTCACACCTCATTAAAACACACGAGCCGTCTGATGGACACGGACCCATGGAATGAGGCTGGATCGGGTCGACACTACACAGTAATTAGGCAACTAAGCAGAGTTTCTCTCCACTTTTTAGGGGTTTTTTTTCCCTCTCCTTAGTGTGTTTGCGCTGTAAGGGATGTGACTGCACTTTGTTTAATCCTATGTGTTTGGGTCTGTTCATGCAGATGAAGACTACATGTGTAGGTCTGTAGAGTATATCAGGGCTGGACCAGATGAGAAAATGTTTAGGCAATTCCTACAGGGCCAGGCTCATTCAGTAGGAAACTACCGGAGTGCATTTGTTCAACCAATTAAACAGTGCAAGAGCAGGTCTGTTATACTCCTCAAATGCCACACGACTGGATCCACTGTGCTTGAGTCTGCACTGCCGCTTGTTAAGGCGCTAATTAATGTACGGACTCGGAAGCTTTGTTTACACAACCTGTTTATTGCACGGACGCTACCAGCATCTGTTCCTCATTTCTAATTAGTCGCTAATTACCAGAGAGGCTTGAGCCTGTCGGAATTGGCCTGATGGGGCATCATGTACAGGCGTGTGATGGAGGGTTTAATGGCCATTCTGGCCTTACCAGGGAAGGAAGCAGATTGCTGGGACAAGGAGGTATAGCTGGGACAGGTTGGATGGGGCAGGAGAGGCAGGAGCAAGGGAGCCGGTTCAGGCTAGAGAGGCAGGAATGGTCTCCTGGTGATAATGATGGTATTAAGCAGGGTGCATTATGGCATGTTAACCCCAGGGGAAGCAGGGATACACAAGAAGCTGAGACACTCCACGTAAGTAACGCCTTGGAATTCAATCAAAACCTGAGGTGTAAATCCGAAATACAAAAAGTCATAGATCGCATGATCATCAGTGTAATCGTACCAACATCGGGGCCCTTGAGAAAGGCCCTTAACCCCAGTTTCTCCAGGATTCCTGGATGCTGACCAACCTTGATCCCTGACTGCCAGCTTTCCCGGGCAGCACAGGGCTGGGATACACCCTAGAGGTCAGAGGTCAGAATCAAACCCCCAACCCTGGACCTGTAAGGCTACAGTCCTACTCACTGAGCCGCCATGCCACCTGGATACATTACTTGTGCTTATATAAAAATTCTCTTCATTTTTTTTAAAATTTGCAGTCTTCCTAAGATAGATATCTAATTGTTTATTAGTGTCACGATTTTTTGATTGTAATTCCCTGGCCAGTGTGTCCATATAGATCGCACCAAGTAAAGTGTATATTCGTCTAGCCAGTTTCCTGGGGTTTATGTGTTTTGTTTCCTGGATTAATGCTGCGATTAGTTGCGTTAAGTTTCATAGAAATGAGATTTTGTAGTTCAGATCTCCCTTTGCATATATATAGCGTGTGAGTGAGAATTCTGTTGGTTATCACATTGTATCCAGGTTATCAAATTCAGGGGTGTTGGTTGAATACGAGCTTCCCAGATTCATCTTCCTTTGAATGCATTGGCATGATGATCTATCCCGAGTCTTCTAAAGATAAAAAGATATGCAAAAAGTGTTGTTAGTAAAATGTCCTCCAAGCCGCAACCTCTTGGTTTTTATGCATGTTTGACACATTTCATTGCGTGGATTTCTATGGGTTATTGTCCCCACATCCATTCCTCTATAGATTTGCTAGGGCTGTTAAAATAACTATAGGAAATTTATTAACTGGTGTACTATGGCCATTTTTGTCATCTTGTGATTTTTCCCCACTGCAATCGTGTGACAAATTTGTTGTTTTATGTGAAGAGAAGGTGCATTGGTGACCAAGTTTGCATCCCCTGATCCTGGCGCTTTGTTAAGAGTTAAATCGGATGGTTAATTTGGGTGGTATTTACCTTGTAATTCATTAGCTGAGCTCCGCCATTGGCACGGGCAGGCTGTAATTTCACGCCTGGCCATAAAAGAGCTCTCATAATCTGCTTCATTTAGCAGCACAAGAATTTAATGAAATTAACTGCAGTCCTAATTAAGACAGTGAATATTAAAGAGCTGCTATCAAGCCCTTAACGAGAACGGCGAAATCCACCTTCCACTGTGTTTGAAAAATGTCATTTTGCCGGGACTGCTGGTCACCGCTGCAAGCCTGGAGCTTTTTCGGCACCGGTCAGTTGGTGGATGTCCCCTTTTGTCCCCCTCTATCAGTTATCAGATATTGGCAGCACACTGAGATCATTTAATCACTGTGCAGTTGATCTTGTGTGTGTATTTGTGCCAGTCTGATTGCGTTATTTCAGCGCTGCTCGTGCTTAGTGTGTTTTCATATATATTTAGGTAGCTCTCTGCCTCACTAGGATGTGGCTTCCATATGCAGCACCTAAGTGCCCCCACAGCCGGTGGCCTGGAGACCGATGCCAGACAGCTTATGTCCCCCCCGATGCGCCACCTTCTCATCAGCGAGGGCGATGGCTTGGTTTTTATCTCCTATCGGGTTTGAGGCTTCACAAATACGGTTTGCATGATTGAGTTTATAATTAATTACCCAGAACTCTTCTCAGATAAATCAGAGTTTTTTTTCCCCTTGTGTTTTATTTTATCTCTGTCTGCTGAGGTCTCCAGGGCCTGACCTTCCTTGTCCTTGCTTTGTTAAAGACGACCTTATCTTGTGTCCAGTGAGTGGTGTGTACGTGTGCATGTGTGTGAGGGCTGAAATTGTATGGTTATTAATTTGCACACGCATCGATTTTGATGTTTTGCATGTCTGAATGTGTGCGAGCATGTCGTCTTCTATTTAAATATGTGTGCGTGCATCTCTCTGCTCCTCCCTGCCCATGCTGCTCCCTCCCCCGGGGGCTGCCCCAGGGTGTCCGCCCTGGGATGATGGATGATCCCTGAGCCCCGCTGACCTGGTCAGATGGTCCCCGCGATATGGCACATGCCTGGACGTGGGCGGAGTCAGTCAAAGACTTAAGGCCCCGCTTGGAGTGACACGTTGCCAGTGCGCAAGCCAGGGAGCCAGTTGAGGGGGAGACATCCTCTATTGACATCCCCCCCCCCGCACTCGCTCATCCCCCCTGCATCATTGTCCAGTGAACTACAATGGTCCCTGTTTATTTTCTATGCTGTCAGACCATCCAGTCAACAAAGAGGCTTGGAGGTGTGGAGAGTTAATGTGATTTCAGAAATGCTTTCTGGAGAGACTCCTGTGCGGAGACGTCATGCTGGGTGTGACTGCTGCCTGGCCAGGCCTTTGGTCTGGCTTTCAACAAGTCAGAATCTACTTCACCTGCCTCATTCTCACTTTTGCTTTTCATTTCCTGTGGGGAAAAGTAGAGCTGGATATAATGAGCTTAGCCATATAAGTTTCCCTGAGGAACCAAGGAAATGCATTCTATTGGTGTTTTTGCATTTTATGAATAGTTTCCCTGCATTTTTGGGTGCGTATTTTGGGTTATTCACACATGTTTTTTTTAAGTGGCTCTCTGGAGCTTTCTTTTTGGACATGGGCTCTCTGTGCTGTACTCAGACGTGTTGGAGCACAATCAAATAAACAGGATACAGATGCATAAAAAATAATTGCCAATTTGCCTCTCCTTACAGTTGGGCAGTTATAGCACTGCTGTGTGTTTGTATAGTTTTCGATTATAAGGCAATTAAAGTTTACTAATTATGGACAGTGATGAAATAGGGTCTGTGAAATAAGATAAAGGGTTAATATGGCATGTTAACCCCTTACAGTCACATGAGCCTTGAGGGAGCAGTATTAATTCATACTTATTCTGAGTCAGGCCCTCCCAGATGTAATCGCAAACAGATAACGGACTCATGTGCTTCCATGGTGTGGGAGACCTTGTCAGGTGGCCTGAAGGTAGCTGCCTGCTAGTAAGACCATCCTGGAAGTGCAGTAGAGACAAATGCTCCCCGCGGCTGGGCCGACACGCTGTTCAATTAGCCTCCCACAGGGAGTGATCGCCTGTCACCCTCACCAGAAAGGAGCAAAATTAATAAAGCCACTTTCGAGTAGCAGGGGTGCATTTTGGGGGGGTGGGTCACTTTTCACACTGGAGCATGTATTCACAGCCATGCAGCGCACACACATACACACGCGTGCAGATTCACAAGCAGCAGCTTTGTAACGCCTTCTCGTCCATTATATTAATACTCACAGATACTGACGGCTCTCTTGCCGCTGGCCGCCTTCTCCCTTTAAGATTTAAAACCTTGTCAAATCACGTTTCCTCCTATGCAGGGTTGTCTGTTGTTCTGTATGTCCACCGCTGATACTGTGTAGATGAGCGTAAAGGCCTGGATTTAGTGTCATGATTGGCTTTGAGAGGCAAATCTGGGTCCACAGGGAATGCAGAACAACGCTGTAATGCAGCAAAGATGTTAGGTGAACATGAGTGACACGGTGTCACACTAGTAGCCTTTTGTATGAGCTCTGCCTCTGCGTCTAAGGTAGAAAAGCTGTAGGGGTATGACTAACTCGTGGGGAAAGGGTCTTGCTTCTGGCTGCAGGTGCTCTTGTGTTTCACAGGGAGGTCGGGTTCGTATTTAAATTTTTTTTCTTTACAAAATGGACCTGCAGAATTGAGGAAAGCCTCAGAATTTCTGGCATTTAACTTGATACATGCATGATTTAAATCATTACAGGTGGTAATAGAAGCAGCATATTGTGAGGGGAAACGTACAATTATATTAAGGAAACATATTAATTATTATATGAAAACACATCTCAGAAATGAGCACACGACTGCTTATAATTGCAGTTTCCCCCTCAGGCCGCAAACAAGATGGTTTATTCAGCTTTCTCCGGCCAACCAAATAGATGTTGTTTGCTTGCATTGGCGTCCTTTTAGCTGCACTTCTGTCTGTAAGAATGACTTAAACAGGTTGCACAAACTTAACTTGCATTTACCAGTTGGCTTGGACTGGTTAGGAAAAGTCAGCCTGGTAAACGAAGGATTCTGACAAATCAAAACGAAGGATTGAGTTATTTTAAATGATACATGAAAGTATATATGCAGTAGAACCGCACTCATAGCCTATAAGTGCGGTTCACTATGTAACAAATAACTTTTAAGACACAAACCCAGTGGATTTTTGATAAAACTAATAAATATCAACATGTATCCTCTGTCCCTGCATGTGATTCCCTTTTAAAAGCATGTGAATTGGAATATAATGAAGCACTTTGCTGTAATGACCGCTGCTTCCAGGGTCTCCACACTCCTGATCAGCACTTCTTTGTCTTGTCTTCAGTTTTATCCCATTGCTGTGCTTTTTAAAATAGTATTTCCTTATGACTCATCTGTGTCCGTGCCGGTGGGGTCAACATTAAATCAGGTTCAGACTGATGAACTGATTGAAGGAGCCTCGTGCTCCCTCTCTCTCCATCTCTCTCCCGCTCTCATTCCTGCACCGAAGAGTTGAAAGCCATCTCCTTGCTGCCGTTGAACTCTATTAATTTCTCTTGTCTGTGCCGTTAATGTTTAACAAGTCCGGCATAGTGACACAGGCCGGCGATCCGGCGAGGCTGCTAATCAGCGGACAGTTTTATTCCCTGAGCACTGATGAATTTGGCCAAATTGGAAAGTGGGCGGTCGCCGGAAAGCTGTGGCCAATGCAGATAGGAAAGAGCCCCGAGAGCACTCCGGTCCCCCCCACTCCGGTTCCCCCCACTCCGGTCCCCCACTGATCCTGTTATCCGCAGTTTTGCTCTCCCAGCTTCCTGTGTTGATGAATCTCATAAACAAACCTGTGCAATACGAAACGATATTTATTACTACAAGCTCCCCCCTTTACCTTCATGGCTGCTGTTGACCTGGTGACTTTTATTTTTTTTGGGGGGGGGGGTGGTGCTACTGGGACTTTTGATCCCAAATGACTTTGGGTCGAGCCAGTCGGATGGACCTTGAATATGCATATATGCATTTTAATGAGCCGAACCTGTGTACGGAAGCACTCAAAGTTGACAGCGTACTAGGTTCTTTTGTATGAAAATGAAACCTTTATAGAGGCAGAGACCCCTTCTCCATCCATGTTTGTCCCTGGTCAGTGTTTGCTCTACATGCCTGCAATCTCCATCTTACACTCCCTAGCCAGTCATGCCACAAACACTGGAGACCAGATCAATAAATCTTTGTTGGTAAATAATTGCTATTGAATAAGACTTTAATATAAATTTATGAGTGCCATTTTATCACAGCCTGAAGGTACAGCCTGATACCACTCCATGGATTTCCTATAGCACTTTTTTTAACATTAACGTTGTAAGATGATTATTTCAGGAAATAAGTAAGAACTTCCCTAAGTTGAGTGCAAAGTCGATCTGTGATCAGCGTCCACAGCAGCGCCAAGCCCTGCCTGCTTGTCTGTCGGAATAACTGGGCTCTCTATGGAGACCTTGAGTGATGGTGAACTTCCCTCATATCTCTTCCAAAGTGCACAGTGGAAGCCTTCCAGAAACCAGCTAACTGGCACTCTTGGACAAAGACAAATACTCAGTTTTTTGTCCTGTAACTTTTAAATTATTCTAGGCTGCAGAAGTAGCATATTTGCAAAAATCTTTACATGCAGGCTTTCGTAGTCAGGGGTGTCGTTTAAAGATTTTGGGCCTCATGAAAGCATAATGTATTGGGCCCCCAATCCAGACCAATCACCATATGTTCCAAATTTTTTAGGGCCCCTGTCGCTCAGGGGCCCTTGGAATCTCCTAACTGTCCCGCCCTTTATGGCACCCCCTGCTTGTCCCCTCTCTGCAAACTGAATGGACGTTTTTTATTATTATTTATTTTATTAAATGAACTTTGTGTTTAACCTCTGACCCTCTGCCTCTCCTCTAGGGGATGCTCATGAAGAGAAGCGGCAAGTCTTTGAATAAAGAGTGGAAGAAGAAATATGTGACCTTGTGTGACAACGGCGTTCTCACCTACCACCCCAGTCTGCATGTAAGTCCTGCAGCTCTCTCCTGCTTGCCCAGTTACTCCATCTTTGAGGCGAATAAATACAGGCATCGTGGAAGTAGTTTTCATTACAGTATTCAAGTTTTTAATGAAAACCGAAACTCTGGCAGCGACAGTTCAGATGGTTTTGGGAGAATGGCCCCCACACCTTGTTATTCTCCCTGTATCAGTGTCAGCTTACACACAGCACCCGAGTTCAGACTGCTCCCCTCAGATCCTTCCCACGTCTTCATGGGAGACAGCTGTGCGTGCGCAGGCACGCGTCTGAGGGGGCGCCAGGCCAGCTCCTGCAGGGGCACGTCAGTGCAGATGAAACTGCGATTATAGGTGCCAGGCTGCCGTACACCTAACGGGGCCAGACAATGCAGCCCTCTGCAGTCTTGTTAGGCAGCCATGACAGCACTTGGCTGTGATTTGCCCTTTGTCTGCATCTTTTCATGGCGTCGCCCTCGTCTCCCAGCCAGATACTTGCGTGTCCCTTTTGTTGTCATCGGGTGGCTGTGCAGGATGCCATTTACAGTTTGACACTGCTGGTTGTGTTTACCAGTGGAGTAGCAGTTTACACATTCAAGCAGCCCAACAGAAACACTCACCAGCTCTTTCCCTTCCTTCCCTTCTCTTTTTCCCTTTTAAAAAAAAAAATAAAAAAATACTGCCCCCTTCAGGACTACATGCAGAATGTCCATGGCAAGGAGATCGACCTCCTACGCACTACCGTAAAGGTACCAGGCAAGAGGCCCCCCAGGGCTGTGTCCACCTGTGCAGCCGTGTCCAGCCCCAAGACCAATGGCTTGGCCAAAGACATGAATAACCTACAGCTGGGCCAGAGCCCTGGTAAGTGGCACCCACCACCGACACCATAGCAGGATCAAGTCTGATCTACTCTGAAAAATACACACACTAATACCAAGCCTGTTATGAGCGAAGGGCTTATGACCCTGAGAGCAGCACTTAACCGTGCCAAGCTAACTGGTAAACTCAAGCTTGCACTGGCTAATTGAATGTGCCTGACACACAGATCCTGATCTTACATACAACCCCAGTATCAAATTAATACCTCCAAGTCCAGGCACCTCCCTCATGCAAGCATAATATGCTGTTGCCTGTCAGAATGCTCTGGTGGTCTGAAGGGACCCCTTAGCACACTGAGTTCTTAATCAATTAAGCCTGATTAAGCTGTTAATGGGTTTAATCATGATCAGAACTTAAGCTTGACATATTCCAATCCCAGGAGGAGTATCTCTTGAAATATTAAACGATCAGTGTTTTTAATTTTGCAGACACAAAGCAGTGTTATGAACTGTTTGTACAATTAAATATAGTATAACATGTTACTTACTCTTTATTTTATGCAAATTAAGACTAATTTAATAGCATTTAACTGTCTGTTTCCAGCTGTTAACAGTGAAATATGTTCATATTCTTAGCTGGTTTTCTGCTTCAGTATGTCTTATTTGCATATCATAACACTGTTCAAAAACATTTTTGAATAATCAAATGTTATGAGTGAAAACATAATTTGGGTGAACCATTATACGTCTGGATAGGCTCTTCTCCCATAACCTCATGCTGGAACATAGTCTTAACACTGACTTGTAAGTTTACAAAACAGTTATCCTCCACTAATAATCAGGGCTACTAGTGGTCAGCTTCTCTTCCATTTAGTGCAAATCTACGGACGTTACTTTGCCGTGGGAAGAGAGGTATCCTTAGAATACAACAGATGGCCCATGGACACTGTCTCTATGGTTACAGAACCACCGAGCTTCCTTTGGGGCAACGTATTCAGTGGTAACAGTGCATTGTGCGAGAGAGGGATGCCTTCGACTGATGTCGTGCTGTTCAGTCCCAGTGGGTCAGCAGTACCATGCTCTGTTTGGAAGACTTCCGTCTTTGTCTGACCCTAGACTGGCTCTGCTCTCTCTTTCCTCCTTCCCCCACTCTCCTTCTCTCCCCTCACTTTATATAAATGTCCCCATTAACCAAAAGGTGCTCATTAGAGCAAAGGGAGTTTTATTTATTCCTTTCAGAGGAGATTAAATTGAGACGTGACATTTCATTCGGAGCTTCCCGTAGGCAGCCGAAGGAAGCTCTTCATATATCCGGAGACGAATCTCCGTGTTATCTGTCAATGCACAACAGGTACATTTTTAAAGCTTTACTTTCTAAGTGTGTGTTTAAAAGGCGCTCAGTCACCTCGATGGATACAGATTAAAGGCAGCCTCCCCACATCGAAACGGTAATGTGGAGAGAAGATTAAGAAATCTCAAGGAATGCTGGACTGGACTAAAAAAAAAAGTATTTGATACCGATCACCGATTTTCACTGGTTTTACTTTGCCATTAAATGTGAACAGAAAGTTAAATGCTCCCATCAAATAGTCATTACTGACGCACTGATTAGTTTTTTTTTATTTTTTTTTTTTAACCTACCTAACTAACCGACCACCCGAAATTTCCCCTAGGTCCAGAAAAGCTAGAAAATGAACTATATTGTAGAAATAAATTTGTAATGAAATAGTACATGTGGCCCTTGGATTAGAAGAGTAGTTAGTGTTGTGTGGAATGTCAGGTGCAGTAAAGTTTAGAGAGCCAATGAGTTTATTGTACATGTTTCTAGGGTTATGCCATAGGCTCATGCACATTAAAAGTGTATCTGATTTTTTTTCGGCTATTGTGCCTCAGTTAAAACGTTTTTAACTTTACTTCATTGATGTTACCTTGTTGTTCAGCCTGTTATCAACGTTGTTAAGAGCCACAAAATGGTAGCTAAATTGTCTACCTTTTGCACTGCAGCCTTACTAAATCAGTCATTAAAATAATTGCTCTTCGGTGATAAATGTGAATCAGAGTGTTGATTAGTCCCTTTAGCACAAACTAATCATAATACATCACTCAATTTTTGTCAAATAAGAATACCAATGGAGGGTTAACTTGAGTAATTGCGTTACTAACTAGATAAATTGGTGGTGTAAAATAAGTTTTAGGATTTTAGATTTACCACAGAAGTAGGGGTGTGTATTAGTATCCTTGATATTCTTGGTATTCATTGTTTTGCTTTTGTAATACTCACAGAAATCTGCTGAAGGAAACCTTTTTTAAATTTGCTGTGGAAACACTGAAGGCTTATTTGATTTTAGCAATAGTTGGTTTTGGTTATAAATAATTACCCTGAACACTTAGTAAATTAATGTTGGATTACCTCAGATTCCACATTCGTTCCAAATTCATACCCATGAGATTTAATGTATTCTTTAGTACTAATCAGGAAGTGACTAGGTAAACGATATGTCCGTCCCTGAGAGGCATAAAATGGCAGTTGTGGAAGATGTGTCAACTGTAAAATCTTGTGCATTTTGAACAGAAATATGAATTGTGCTGTTTACTCATACTGAGGAAACGAGACGTGACGTCCACTGTGTGTTCACCAGGAGCTTCCAGTCTCGGGTGTATTTAAGCAGGAAACAATTAAAAACCCAGTTAGAAAAAATACGGCTTTTAAATGAGATTGTTGGTGCTTTTCTACACTCGGTGTTGTGAAAGGATGTGAACTTGTATCTTCCACCTTAGATTATGCTTCGTCATTGATGTGGCTTGACCTCCATTTATTACAGAGTTGCCGCTGGTTAGGATATTAATCTGAAACTCTGAATGTATGCATGACACCCCTTTCCCCCCAGTGTGCCCAGATGCGTCCTCTGGTACACGAGAGCTGATTCCACACATAAGCTGCGTAAGGCTGCTGTGTGCCTCTTTGGTCCTTGGGTTTCTCCCCTCATGCCTGTACGCTGGTGATAACTTCTGGCTATTCGCTCTCTTCCACGCCACAGGCTCTGTCAGCAGCAGCTCCTCTGCCTCCCAGATGGCCAGTGGTATCAGCTTGGTGTCTTTCAACACCAGGCCGGACGGCATGCACCAGCGCTCCTATTCGGTGTCCAGCGCTGACCAGTGGAGCGAGGCCACAGTGATCGCCAATTCTGGCATCAGCACAGGTATGACTGCCCTGGAACCATGCAAGGACCCTTACGGCTAACGGGGCCCTCCGATGTGCCTGCCGTTAAAGGCTGTTGTAGCCGTGAAGATGAACTCACAGGGAAACGGATGTATCCCTCTACTTTCCTCTACTTCCACCTTACATCTAACCCTCAATCTCCTCAGCAATGGTCTGGCTTCTCTTTTCTACCTCCCTTGTTTCTCCCATCCATTCTTCCTCTGGTTTTCTCCTCCGTATCCGTCACTGTATCTCTTATTGATCGAGCTGTCTGGTGCTAATGCCACCCTAACTGTTTATCAATGTAATGGCTTTGAGAGCCCACCCGTACGAACTCCTTGTTCAGTTTACACACAGGGGAGGACACTAATTAATGGGTGCCTTTCTCAGCTAGCACCCTGTCTCATGACTGCAGAGGCAGATTGTTAATGAACACAGTTTTCTGCTATATTTTGCTTTTTCCTTAATTTCACAGTTTACCGTCTTGACTTATGCATGCACTTTGCTTGAAAGCAGAATCCACTGAAACACGTAAATAATTTCTTGATTTTTAATTTTTTTCTTTTTTTGGGGGGGGGGGGGGGGGTCAAAAATAGTCCTCTGTTCAAACAGATGAACATAAAAATTCTCTCGGCCTTTTTTAAATAGAGCCTTTCGCTTCTCTGGTCTTTAAGTGCCTTCTTAAAAGATGTTGAGGGTCATGTTGTAGCCACTGCGGTGACACAGCATTGGAGCTGGCACTGCCTGGCCTCCCAGCACCACCCTTGTTGGCCCCACTGCTTTCCTCTAACTGTGCTTAGAATGGTGAAGTGCTTATACTGCCTCCAGTGACACACTGAGAAGGCTTGTCAGACACACAGCTGTCACCCTGTTATATTTTCTGTCCTTGAGGCCTGTTCAGCCCGGGTAGCTTGGTAGGGGTTTGCTGTGCTAAAAGCTGGGTAGCTTTGCCTTGTTCCTGTAAAGACCTGCATTGATCTGTAAGGACAATGGCGCAGCTGCCTGAGAGCTTCACTTGTCCTTTCCAGCTGTTACCCTCAAGTGCAATGATGTCATGCAGCTCAAACATCAATATTCTAATTGCTTCTGTTATACACAACAATGATAATATGTGCCAATGTAGGTGACTGTGGTGTACAGTGACAGTGGGCGATACAGTGATCTGTCTGATTAAACTGTCCCATAAACCAGTGAACCTGAACGTTTAGCTATACTTCATGACGTGTCTTTCTGCTCCCTGTGAACTGCGGTAACCGTATTAAGGAGGGCCTACAATCCACTGCCTCCAGCACATTAAGTTGCTCAAATGAGATCTTGTTGCTTCTTCACGACACAACAGAAAAATAATTTAGTAAGGAAAGCAATTATCCAAAGCTCTGCTGCAGCGGGACCAAGGCCTCTGAGGAAGCCACTGGTGGTGTTCCCTCAGGCAGCGAGATGAAAGATCCTCACCTTCTTTTTTCTGGAAGGTAGCTTTTTCCTCCTTTATCCCTCACTTTCTCTTCATCTCTCATCAGGCACAGTGTGGCCTAAGCTTCTTGGGATCTTTATTCTTATTCCTGTCAAACCTCTTATAGTTTCACTTCACTTGAAGCCAACTCATGTCAAAAGGCAGTATCTGCTAATTCTCCTGTCTTACTGAAGCATATGAGCAGCTGATGAGGAATCAATCAATTATGCCAACAGATTTAGAAAAAACCTCAAGGGGTCTCAAGATTAGAAAATACAGGTTTATATGCTCCATAGTATCTCTGACAGCATAATGAAATACCATTGTGACTGTGGTAGTCAGTGGCACATGGCATTTTCGATTATCGATTAAGGTCATGGGTAGCATAAGACATGAATTGAGGTTTGGCTGATATGAGGGTGGAGTCAAATAGGGTAAAGGATGAACATGATGACTTGGACTAGCATAATTGAGCCTTTATTAAACTTGTTGACCAGAAAGCACATCTTTTCAAAAGCACCTGGTCTTTGATCCTGAAGTTCTCCTCAGATGTTGTTTTCCCACTTCTCTTCTAGTGACACTAAGATCATTCTCCTCAGCATTCCTGGACTTCAAATGAAGTCATTTTCATGACTCATTGCTCCTAAGAATTTGAAACACGATAAACTTCGAGGAAGGGCATTTTGGCAGCATTTAGCTTTGATTTTCGCCTTTGTTTAACATGAGGTTTCAAGCGGGGTAATTAGATGAGCTGTGTTAGGATTGCGCCCATAAGATTCAGTGCAGATTGTAGATGGGGTCATGAGGAGGATCTCAAGATGAGCCACAGAGACTCCAAATAGGGAACACTTTCTCAGAACATTGTCCTTCAGTCCTCAAACTAAGGCTGCCAGACTTCTTTCTCTAGCTTTGTCATAGACTTCTAAAATGGTCTTGAACACAGCTCCATAACAGAAAGTCAGGCCTCTACATTATGTTTTTGTTTTGTATTTGCTTAATTATGATAAAAATCAAGCTAACGGTATTGGCTGCATGCGTGGGGGGGGGGATACCTTGCCGGCTGAGCTCTGCACCAGTCCAACTGGCTGACTAATGTTCCTATTTTACTCTCACTGTCTCCAGGGCAGCTCTACAGTTTCTTTCTATCCCTTTCTCAACGAGCCAAGTAGCTCGTTAGTGACTTGAGGTATGCGCCTGCCCCTTCAGGCCACGCTCTCTGTCTCTCTAAATTAAGTCCCCTTGTCACTGGTCAGTCTTGCTGATGGCTGTAACAGCTGACTGTAGACCCACGTTTAACATTGCATGGGAGGCTAAACAAAGCCGAAATAAAGGACTTAAGGCCATATTTTTTAGTAATTTATAAACACACTCATCTATAATGCACTGTAGACACCTTTATAATGCAATATAATGGTCAATATAAGCATTAAGGGTACCTAGCGCATCATAAATGAGAGCTTCATAATGCATTCTTAATACATAATAAACATGGCTGTAATGTGTTATTTTTATTAATATCTATGCCCATGTTTATAATGCTTAATGAATGCATTATAAATTACTAAAAACATGGCCTTAAGTAAAGTGTTTCCGAAAAAGCTTTATCTGCACTGAACAACAAGGGTGAATTTTGATTGCTTTCGTAAGCTGACCTTTACGCAGATGAAGAAAATATATTTTTGAATCATGTAGGCGGTCTATTTTGAAATCTTTAGCAAACTTTTTTTTTTTTTGATACCAGAAAATCTTCATGTGACATTGTGAAGACTGAGGTCACATTTATCTTTCAAGTGTATTAGCTATTTGGGTAGTACAGACTTCATCACTGCTATGTTTTCAGGCTTCAGGTGGCTGCTCATAATCTCAGATAAAGTTGTTTTATAGATGGCACTCTATTAGCTAATGATAGGGATGGCTATGCCTTTGACCTGGCTTTTGGCCAACGGGGTATGGTATCGCGCTGTAGAGATGACCCCTCCTGACCTCCTGTCTGTAACCAGCCATCTTGGATGTAAAGAGGAACAGGCTTCTTTAGTTTCTGCAGCTGGCCTCCTGAAGAGCCCTTTGTTGACGTGACTCTCAACAGGTGTGCCAGGGAGTATTCAGGATGTTCTCTGTGGCTCTCAAATAAGTACCGAGCGAGAGGTGACCGGATCCAGTTTGGGTTGGTTTTATGTATCAAGCATGTGGAGATCAAGGATGGTGAGAATTTAAGATGTTTGAACGTGTCTTGTAGTGACAGGGTAGTAGTCGTAGATGGTTCAAGGTGGGGGTTGTACATACTATGAGGATGGAGTCTAAGTAGTCGAGGGGATAGAAGGAAGATGGGAGGAGAAGTGGAAGTGTAGATGGAGCGACGAAGACTGCTGCGAAATGTAGATGAAGGGACAGTTAATCAACAGTTAATTGTGTGCTTTGGGATGGCATCCTGTCAGCAGAGATAAGTTGTCGCGTTTTCCACTTGAGCTGAGACTAAATGATTGTAAAATAAGTTATAGCTGTCCTTGGGCTGTCTGGCATGGCGCGGGGCTGGGGGAGCTCTCTGCCGGAGAGGTGCCCCCGTCACCGCGGCCGCTCCGCCTCGTATTGATGTGAGCGGAATGTTATTTTATTCAGCCTCTAGTCACAGCTGTCAGCTTCGTGTGTGAGGAGTGAGTCGGCCCCGATGGCTCCTCCTGCGGAGCTGCTCGTGTGCGACATCCGGCGCCCGCCGGTCACAACCACTGCCGCTACTGGGGGGGTGGGGTGGTTACCTCAGCTATAGCATTCTGTCCTGTAAGTAAATGATAATGTTAGAACCCTCTTTGACCTGGCGCTGTCCTTTCTGCTCACAGACGCCGGGCTGGGAGACTCAATCTGTTCCAGCCCCAGTATCTCCAGCACTACCAGTCCCAAGATGGACCCACCTCCCTCGCCTCACGCCAACCGCAAGAAACACCGGCGGAAGAAGAGTACGAGCAACTTCAAGGTGGATGGCTTATCTGGCACGGCAGAAGGTAGTGGCTCGTCAACAGCCTGCTACTGGGGAGATGTCTCTACGGATACTGTCGTTTTTTCATAAGTATACACACACATTCACACACACACACACACACACACACACACACAATTCAGGTGATTGGGATTTTTTGCAGTTTATCCTAAAATCCTAACCCTAAGAAGCTAATTTCGTAATTAATTATGTAAATAATTTATTGCCTTTTAATTTGTCTGTATTGCATTCAACGTCCAGATTTTATTTTCTCCCTGGTGTTTTTTTTGCTTTTTCTGATAACATGGGGTTAGCCGAGGCTTTTTTCTTTCTAACCACGTGTTTGACCCCCTTCCCCCACTCTGGGGTTGCAGTCATTTTGGTTAATTAGCGAAATACTAATTTTCAGTTAATCACACCCACTTGGAACACTGACAGCAGACTTTATGCACTCTGACACTTATCAAGTTTCAGACCCGGATTTTTAAGGCAACATGGCAACAAATTAAATGTTTGAGTAAAAGCGTTAAGTGTTTTCTTCGAGGGTGTTAATTTGTGAGAGAAAAAAAAATCTGTTTTATGAAGGAGTTAGTGTTTTAGCCTGAAAAGTGGGACTGCTTAAAATCTGTACTCTTTACAGTAGTAATAATCATGTTTAATTTTCACCATTTGCTAGCTTTTTTGGGGGGGTGTACTGCATGTTCTTAGCTGTTAGTATTCTTTATGAAGTATATCTTGGTGACAAACTGGGATGCAGCTATAATGTCCCATATGCAACTTACTATTGGGTAGGGGTGGGTGATCACTAAAGCGACGTCTCTGCGACCATCGGCGTTAGTTTGCTGGCCTTCTTCTCGGTCCACATTTGGCATCAGGGACAGTAAATTAAACATAACGATTAGACTTTCAGCTTTATTTGTCTAACTAGCGTACTTTTGCTTTGGGGGACAGCAAAGAGCCAATAAAAGTAAAATGTCATCTAAAATTCGCCAGATGTCATAGCGTAAATTTAGAACAATTGAAATTCAAGTGGTAGACAAGGCTCCACAGATATAACATTAATACTACATACATATGTGATATTACTTATACTGCATTATTAATATCAGCTGTGCCAAGCAAAAGTATGGAAACTTTGCTATTAATGTATTCTGACTTCCGATTTTGTGAAACCTCAGTGGGATCTACCAAGAAACTAAATATAAATATTCAGTGGTAAAATTAAATAATGCTATTTACATGTATTAAATACTCAAACTGAAGATAAGGTTGTGCAGGTACTTTGTTTACTAGTTAAAAAAAAAATAAACCTCTTCCAGCCTTCTAAATATAGTGTCTGGAAGAGGAGCTTTTTCAGTTCTTGGCATTCTATGAAGGTGGTTTTTGCCTGGCTCATTTAGTAGTGATGGCTTTCTTCCTGCCGCCCTGCTCTATAGGCTGTTTCTGAAGTGTAGATGAAGTCTGGAACTGTAACTGTGTCACTGGATTCTGTCAGGAACTGTAACACAGTGTAAATGGAATCTGTCTGGAACTGTAATTCATTTTCAGTGGAGTCTGTCAGGAACTGTAACAGTGTGAATGGAAATTGTACAGAACTGTTATACAGCATGGATGGAATTTGTCCAGCAGATTAGTTCAGCACTGAAATGCACTGCCAATTAAAAAGGTTTTTAGAAGATCCTCCTTTGAAGGCTGCTTCGTAAAATTATATCTTCAATTTTGAAATCATAAGCAGTGTGTCTGAAGAATGTGTAATCCCAGAGTACAGTCCATCGAGTGCAGGCCTGACTCTCCTGTCTTTGATGCTGAAACAAGAAGCGTCCCGGTTGCAGGAAATGTAGCCCCTGCTTTGATGGTCTTCAGCCCTCCACACCCCTCTGACCCACCAGCCAACACGAAAGAGCTGCGCACTCTGCTGGAGGCCTCAAGATACCTGTTTATGGAGCCTTTAGGGGTGCACGTTTGAACGCTTCACTAAGGAGATCAGAGATTTTAGGCTCCACGCTTTGATTGGTGCCACTGTGTCCAAAATACAGTGTGGGTTTTCATATTTAAGTAGTTTTGGATGCACATAATAGCCTCTTTGATAAGTTCCTTTGATAAGGAACATAGATCCCACATTGACGGGTTTTGAACCCAGTGCTTAAATCACCAAGTAGTCTCTCAAACTGCAGTCTGTGTTTTCCTGCTTTTTAAAGAAGTTGAATGTTGCTAGACGCTCCCTAACCACCGCCATTTGTCAGCAATGCACTTAAGTGAAATATTATTTATAATCCACTGTATTGAAATCTTTTATCAGCTGTGTCACTTTCATTATTCAATAAGCGATTAGTAACAGTCTCCCAATTTAGCCATTAAGCACTGGCGCATGGCCCCTGCCCCGCGTGTCACGCCGGCTGCAGGATGAAGTATCAGCCTGTCAGAGCCCAGTTATTCATGAGGGCCATCCTCACCCAGGTAGCTCCCTCTGAGCACCAGGCCATCTCACTGATGTCCCTAGTAGCCAGTCCAGACTGGTGTGGGTTTCCATGGATATTATATTGCTCTTAATTATATAGCTGTTTAGCAGATTTTCAGAAGTTTGTGTTATCACTTGCAGTTTTGCATTTTTTTTTAATTTTTTTTTTTATCATTGACATATATTGTACATTTATCTTTTTATCCCTTTTGTGAGTCAGATCATGCGTAATTACACAGCCGGGTATTCACTAAAGTGGTATAGATGAATGAGCAGGACATGTGGGTGGACACTATCTGAAAAGATTGGGAGCATTCCAGGCTCAGCACAGGGCTCAAACCCCTCCTGGAACCAGTCTCTGGCCGTCGTTTAGACGTGATGTATGGAGCAGGCTCCTCGGGTCGTCTCCTGCATCCTCATGACGTTTTATTCGGTAGGTGAGTTAACACGTTTAATGGCATAACTCCAAATGGGTCTATGCGCTGCCAAACCGGGCAGAGGGTCCATAATTAAACTTCGACACAATAGGCCGCAGGACCACGTGTGTTCCCGCCCCCCTGCCGTTCGGCCCTGTCGCGGGTCAGGAGGTGCTCTGCTGATCACAGCTGCGTAAATGACGGTGGGCGCTCCAGCCGCCGGGGTCCCCTTGTTAAATGATTACACCTTTTATTTGTGCCTCCCATGATCTTTATGATGGCTGAAATGCGATAGCTGGTTTGGAGGTTCGCAGGTGGTCACAGGCAGGGTGCAATCCCACCTCTCAGGATCCAATCTGCAGGCCAGTTGGCCGAGGTCTGGCAAGCTCTGTGTATGTCACTTTTATCAAAATATCTAAATATTTACGCAACCCTCAATGTGAAATACCAAAGGACTCAACCTACCCAGGTCATCTGTGGAGCAGATTGACAAACGGACCATTCTGTCGATTGCCTCGATTTTTACCCCCCCCTTCCCCTCCCCAACCTGCCCATGGGGAGTCATATGACCAGGCCCCTTCACCATGCTCCAGGGGCAGCCACGTGTGCACTACAGGGCATATGGGACACTTTTGTTCCACACATACACACTTAAATATATATGTGTTCTTATCTTTGTGGGGACTCTCCATTCCTTTCTATGAGCGAATCCCTAATCGTAACATCGTAACTATGGCGACCTTAACCCCTATCTAACCCTAACCTTAACCATAAGTAATCAAACAAAATACCAGACTATTCTTGTTTTTTGATTACACTCATTCATTTTTGAGTTTTTCCGTGTGGGGACTGAATTTTATTATAACATTTTGGGGATGTTGGATCCCCACAATGTAATGTATACCAAACCACACACACTAGGCAGGGGGCATCTGCTGGGGCTCATGGGGAGCTTGTATTTGATCTTCAGCCCTTGTTTGCCCAGTGAGTCAGACAGTGGTTAATTAGCTTGCGCCCAAAGATGCCCCTGGGAGGCAGTGTTGCGTACCGTTTAGTGAGACGACTTACCTCTGCAGCACAACAATAAAAAGAAAAGCAGTCATGTAAATGTGTGGAAGTATGACACTGAAAGCCATTTAATTTTCTTTGGATGGAAACGGCAGCAGGGACTGGTGCCATACATAAACAAATGGAGATGTATATCTACATAGACCAAGTATTTCTGTTTGATTTCTCCACACTGGCTGTGAAAGCACATTTGACCGGGCTCTGCGGTAAATGTTTGTCGTGGCTCCGGGCCACAGCAGAATGACTTGTGATCAGCAGTCATGGGGAAATAAGCAGTTTAAGGGCTACAGAAGGTAGTATTAGGCTTGTGCCAAGGTGATGTGCAGCCGAACGTGAGGGACGCGTGGGAGTAACCACCTTAAAAAGAACAACAAACAGCCTTGGATATTTCGCAGAAGATTACAGGGTCGTTTTCACCATAAATTTGTGCTTTTCTGTTGTGGTGGCTCCAGTCTCCCAGATTGGATTTGTGCTTGAATTATTGTGTATAATTGAGCATGTAAATCCTGGTTACTTGACCTTGGCTTTTAGCATAAGGCCAGTGTGTAATCAGTCGTTTCCTTTGCGAGTCAGAGCCGTTGTCCCAAACTGGTGAACAGGACTCATCCAGGCAGTAATGCATTTCTTACTCTTTCTTATTCCTTTTTGAATCCACGGATCCCTCGTCAGAGGCTCCTGCCTGACTTCCATGGTGGACTGACCCATTGGTGGTGCCTGTATCTGCTCCTGACACTGCTTGAGTGACGAGTGTCATGCCTCCTGATGGATGTCTTTGTTCTTATGCTTTTTGTTTTTCCCCGAAGCTCCAGACCTCCTAGTGATGATCTGCCCCCCACCCCCTGCCTTTTCTTTTTTTAAGCCTTTTTAATGTCTGCTTTCAGATTCTTTTCCTCCTTGTTTTTTTGTCTGTTTCATCAGCTGCTCTTTTACCGGCCTGTACCCCCCCCCCCCCCCCAATCTGGATGTCACCAAACTTAGCATGTGGCATCTGATCTGTGCTGGTGGTATGTACATCTGCTGCATGTCTCCCTGGGTCTCTCCCTCCTAAACCACCCTCTGGCCTTCTTAACGAGGACCAGGCCTACGTTGTCTCTGTCCAGAACCTTCCGGGTTCCGTCTAAGGGCTTTCTGGGCTGGCTGACCTCCATGACACCCACATTCTCTGCTGGTCCAGTGATAAGAGGCTTTCCAGTTTCCCATGTGGGATGATAAATGGTTAAATGTGCTGCACCGTCCTCGGTGGCCTCTTATTTACGCTTTCAGCAGAAACAGCCAGTCCTCGGTGTGGAGAGCCCTGTAATATTCTCTAGGTTATTAATGTTGTAAAATGGTACGAATAATATTGGAAGTAATGACCTGTGTCACCAAGCAATACTGTGTGCTGTGACATTTAAGTCCAGTCTTTTAATTTGTGTTTCCTGCCCCCCCCCTCCAAACCTGTACCTCTGCACCCCTCCCCCCTCCCCTGTTCCGCCATGACCCATCTGCATGGGCCGCAAGCCTGTAAATGGGGGTGTTGTTTGCTGTTAAAGGTTGTCTGTGTCAGAGTTCACAAATTGCCTTGGCTCAGCCCTGTGAATAGCAGTATTGTAGCTGGAAGCTGTACAGTAATGACTACAATAGCTTCCAGTCCCCTGTACGTCTCTGTGGTTGTGCAGTGAAAGGTATGATTTTCTATGCATAAAAATCAGTTTTTTTGACCATACTTGTACAATGAAACTTACGATTTTCAATGTATACAATTGATTTGTATCAAATGTAAAGGGTGTGAATCTTGATTTTCAGACCTACAGTAAAAGGTGTGATCGATTCAGGTTTTCTAGGGCAAGTTTGAAGAATGGGGGCAGGCTCTGTTGCAGTAAGCCGGGGGGGGGCAGATTTCTGCTGAGGCAGGATCGGGGGTAAGTACAGGGAGCTGTGCTGAGGGCCACAGCCCCTGGGAGGAGTGAGCGCACTCTTGGGAGTGTCACGACTGAGCAGGTCTTCTAAAAGGCAGCCTGTGCGAGTGCCAGAGTGTGGTGCCCTTTCTTTTCTATTTTATTTCCAAATGCATTACCGCAGCTCAGGGTGCGCAGAGGGAGGGGACAGAGCCAGCTAATTTATGCCTGTGCGCAGTGGCTTTCTGCATTGTTGCCTTCCATAATTATCAAACAGCCACCCCCGCCCAAAAAGGGGGCAGAATTTAATTATGATGAGAACATTGTTCCTGACCCCGCAGGGCCTGTCGCTGTGGCAGGGGTGGGGCCCAATCACAGCGGAGACGCTCCAGCGATCCCCATTCCCCAAGCTGTGCGCCTGGACACGGATTACAAACGCGCCCGCGTGGCACTCCCCGCGGTGACGGCAGCGATTTGCAGGTCCCCTCCCGCTGCTCCCTGGGTGCCAGCCCACCACAGACGTGTGTGATGGAGGCGAGGCGGGGACTAGGGGGATCAGCCTGACTGAGGAAGCTCGCTCAGGACTGTTAGTGTTCATGTCCAGTGTAATCATTAGCACATCTTACGTATCAGACTTCAGCAAAATTGAACAAATGTGACCATAGGATAACATTTACTGTATAAAGAAGGGCAGCCCAGTAATGCAGTGGCATGTGATGTGGACATAACACGCAGTATGCACCAATGTGTAAAGCCAGACAAGGGAATAACTGTAAAACAACACTGAGCCAGTGTCCGGTCTGAGGGCTACAGTGTCGAAGTGACCAGGATGGTCGATGTGTGCTCTTGTGTTCAGCAGATTACGGAGCTGTGTGAGGGGTTCAGAGTCCCAGTGGCCCATGTGTAGAAGCTGTTTGTCAGGCTGCAGGGGAGCGTAAAGTTTGTGGCTTGTGTGAGTAGGATCACTGACAGTGCTGTGAGCATTCCACCCACACCTCTTATACGGGTGGGTTGGAGGACCCGTCAATGAACCGGGCTCTTTTAACCAGGTTTAGTTCCCAGTCCATGATACAGCAGGAGAATCCGCTGTAGTCATGTGATCTTGTGTAAGGAATTATTTGCGTCTGCATTCCTTTTGGGCATGATTGGAACTTTAGCCGCCAAATTAGGGATGTTTTATCACTTTTAAAATGATGACTTTTACCATTTAACCGTCATCTTTAACCAGATGAAAACTGAAGCATCCTTGAAAGTGGGAGAAGTCTTAATTTTTGCAACGCGTGTAAGAGCTTGGTAGTTAAATGATTGTGAAATCTATGTATGTGTGAGGAACTGCTGTGTGGGTTTTGTCCCCTACACCCCCCATCACGGCCCGGATCAAGCTCAAAAAGTTCGTGTTTTGTTTTTGGTCTCTTTTCAAAATCCATGTAATCAAAGTTATCAACCTTCAACAGCGCTTGAGGTTGTCACTTCCTGTTGCAGACATACTTAAGTCTCTCATTGTCTTATTTACTAAAAAAAAAAAAACATGGCATCCTTGTTGTGGTCCTGCCTGCTGTCTCAGCCTAGATGGGAAGTGGTGTCGGCACCTGCTAGCCAGGTGGGCCCCAGCACGATGGCGCCAAAACTGAAGTCCGGCCGAAGGGCCATGCCAGCACCTGTTGGAGGAGCTGCCTTGATTACCCATTCATTATCTAATTGGGCCGCCGCCTCTCCTTGTTAGATTAAATGGTAAACAGAACCCAGTCGGTGTCGGGTCTCATTCCCTCAGATTATCCTGTCATTGATGCCTTTGAACGTCCTTGTCGAGCTCGCAGGGGCCCTGTTGGGGGACTGGACATCTGTGTGCCCCAGGGTACCTCACTTTTCCTCTTTGCTACAATTACTTTTTTTTTTTTTTCATTTAACTGTTTCCAAATGTTGTCGGGGTTGCCTGTCAGCAGAGTAACCGCTGATGCTAGCCGCTAAGCTATCTTCAGATTTGTTTCCGGGGGACCATATGTGCCCTGGAGGTTTGCACTGACTGCAGTGTCTGGACTCCTGTGTTTGGTCAAGGTACATGCATGTGCAGCTGCAATTAGTACATCCTGCAACTGAGGCCCACTGGCCAGTGCCTTGGTTGTGTGATGATGGCGAGGCCTTGGCCTTTTGGCGTCAAGCATGATTCTGAAGTTTGTCCTCATTGAAAAGACGAGCCTTGGGTTTGCACATCTATGTTGTATCTGTTGGTTGTGTCAGTGTTTAGACCCCAGTGTAAGTCTCATCCTCACCTGACCTGAGGCCCTCTGAGTGTGGTGACCCTTTCCTGTGTTTCAGAACAAGAGGAAAACTTCGAATTTATAATCGTGTCCTTGACGGGCCAGACATGGAACTTTGAGGCAACTTCATACGAGGAGAGAGACGCATGGGTGCAGGCCATTGAGAGCCAGATCCTGGCCAGCTTGCAGTCCTGTGAGAGCAGTAAAAACAAGGTAAGGCCATGGCTGGACATGAGAACACACAATATGACTTGAGGCCATCAAGATATGTTGGCGGTTGTGATAGTCTGCTCTACAGGATATTCTAGGTTCCATGTAACCCAATACTGCTAAGGTGGCTTTTTAAGTAAGAACTTCCTCCCATATTGCACCATAAACCCTCCATGTTTTTCCTGTTATTATATCACCCCTTCCCTGTTTATTCTACCACACCTTGACATGTTAAGATGATTTGGAGATACTGTTGTAGCTGTCAAAGTGCCTCTATCCTGATGCAGCTTCTTATTGAGGTTTGAGGACCAAAGCAAGTGCAGGAATGCAGTTGGGTCACATCAAATTCCCATGCCAGCTATATTATGTTGACACTCAGAAGCTCTACATTCTCTTTTGGTTCATCTAACTATTATCCAAGATGACTTCCTTAGTTTTTGCTTAAATGAGCGATGAGTCACTTAAACGGATGGGGTGAGCACTGGAAGCAACCTATTGTATCTTCCTGTATATAGTCCCGCTTGCCGAGCCAGACAGAAGCCATCGCCCTCCAGTCCATCAGGAACCTGAGGGGGAACAGCCGCTGTGTGGACTGTGATGCCCAAAGTGAGTCTGGCTCTTGTGTCTTGGAAGAGCGACAGCTTTACAATCTCAATCAAAAGGCCTGAGGTCAAAATCCACATCCTCCATGGACATTTGATTTTGAGGGTCTTCTCCCATTGTTCCCCACAGACCCCGACTGGGCCAGCCTGAACCTGGGCGCCCTCATCTGCATTGAATGCTCAGGCATCCACCGCAATCTTGGTACACACCTGTCCCGTGTGCGCTCGCTGGACCTGGACGAGTGGCCCCTCGAGCTGATCAAAGTCATGTCCGCCATCGGCAACGAGCTGGCCAATAGTGTGTGGGAGGCCAACGCCCAGGGTCGCATGAAGCCTGCCCCTGAAGCGAACAGGTGAGGTCTGCCCCGTGATGCTCTGCCACACCCCAGCTAGTGGTTAGCGAACATACGCATCAGCGATCCTGTTATGTCAACTGGTAAATCACACAGTGGCTTTGTTTTTCTCGGAGAAGAATGTTTATCACAGTGATGAAATGTTTCGATGAATTTCCCAGGGTAGTTTTGACCAGATAACAGACATCACTCTATGCTAAAGAGTTACCACAGCAGGCATTGAGATTTGGGTTTTGGCTTTTGTCTGCTTTTGGTTCATTATGACTTCCTGTTTTGTCCAGTCTTAGAATATTGAATGTTATATACTGGTTTGCCTTTTAAAAGAGTCTGAAAATTGCACTTCAACTGGACCACGTTCATTGCAATAGCAGTTTTGTATCTTTATATTATATGATAAGCTTTCTATGTTGGGTTTTTTTTGTTATTGAGATTATGGACATTTTTGTTTTGTCATTACCTTTGTTGTCTTGTCACGTCAGTGCTATCTTGTATATCCATCCGTCCATCCATTTTCTACGATCTCATTCTTTGGGTCACTACCCAAAGCTCATCATTGTAGGTGAGTGTAGGAATGTAGATCGACTAGTAAATCGAAACCTTTGCCTTCTGGCTCAGCTCTCTCTCCACCACAACAAAACTGTACGATCCGTATCATGCCAACACTGCACCAATCCGCCTGACGATCTCACGCTTCCTTCTTCCCTCACTTGTGAATTAGACCATGAAATACTTAGTCTCCTCTTGAGGCAGTAACTCATCCTCCACCAGGAGAGGGCAATCCACACTTTTCTGGTTGAGAACCATGACCTTGGAGAACTTGGAGGTGCTGATTCCGGCTGCCTCACACTCAGCTGCAAACCGCCCCAGTGCCTGCTGCAGGTCACAGGCTGATGAAGCCAACAGGACCACATCATCTGCAAAAGGCAAAGATGTGATCCTGAAGCCACCAAACCAGACCTCGTCTGCCCCTTGGCTACACCTAGAAATTGTTTAAATGTTGTGAACAGCAGCCCTGGCGGAATCCAACACACCAGGAATGAGTCTGTCTTGCTACTGGTGATGCAAACCAAACCCTTGCTCAGTATATACAGACAATGGCTCGCATCAGCGGACCCCTTACCCCATACTCCTGGAGCCCCCCCCCCACAAGACCCCACGAGGGATATGATCATATGCCTTCATTGTATAAGTCCACAAAATACATGTAGACTGGTTGAGCAAACTCCCATGACCCCCCCAGTATCCGTGTGAGGGTAAAGCGCTGGTCCAGCGCGCCGCGACCAGGACAAAATCCGCATTGTTCCTCCTGGACCAACAGGCGGACCCTCCTCTCCAGTACCCCGACCTTCCCAGGGAGGCTGAGGAGTGTGATCCCCCGGGGTAGAGGCCCGGCTACCCGGTGCTCACCCGCGAGCTCCCTCCCCAGGCCTAGCTCTGGGGCCGGGCCCCAGTCGATAGCTTGTATATCAGCATTTGAAAGATTTGTACCAATCATACAATTGCTCATGTAGTCCGGCTGCATGTTTACTCTCACTCAGAAGACAGGCTCTTCGGTGGGCTGCAACGGGCTGCAACGCTTCGTCCGGCCTGCAGGACGCATCGGGCGATCTGACCTCAGCCAGTAGCTCCCACGGACCTTGGTCTGCTTGACGGAGCCTCACACCATTAACAGCTTACCTTCAGCAGCAGCGGCCATCATAACAAATTACACCCGACTGCAGCCGCGTAGACATCGACATCCCATTTCACTCTGCATTCATTTGTCAGCAAAAGCCCCTTTTAATTACTCTCCCCAGAAAAAAATCTTTCACTATGGATCGGCCATTTTTCTTGAACCCGTCACGGTATTAATGCATTTATTGTCGCACATGAGCCTCTTTTTTTTATATCCCTGAGAGACAGAGTAGTGCATAGGGCTCCATTGACACTGACAGTTCAGGTGGAGGCAGAATTAAATCAGTTAACCCAAGTCTTAAGCATGTAGTCTGAATATTTTGCATTGTCTATCTGCAGTATAAGAAAGTATCAGTATGTAATTCTGAGAAATATCGAGCGTCAGCAGGTTATAAGTCTGCTGGAGTGTGACACAAGCCAATCTGTGGAACAGCACTGGCATCGTGCCATAAGGGAGAGAAGGATACTCCTCAGCCAGGGTTTATCTGTCAATGCTTGCAAGAGCAATTCATGCCTCTATCCGCTGCTAACAGTCATAAAAGTGCAGATTTTTTTGTCTTTGCATACTTTGTACAGACTGAACACATCAAACTAATCAGGATCCACATTACCTTTCTTTTGCAATTTAAACAGTTTTGTTGTGCTGCCCAGCATGTCACTCAGCTTAGGGTTGTTTTTAATAATAAAACATTTAAGCTTTTATACTTGGTAAAAATACAAAATTTGTGATTAAAATCTCATGCAGAAATAAACCAAAATTCAGATAATAGGCTGGATAAATGATTCGAAAATATGGAAGTGTGCATTATATATTCTTGGGGGGTGGCCTGTTAATAGTATATTAGACAGTGCTCCAGATTTTAGGATTAGCTAGTGAAAGCCGGTGTGAAGTCTAAATTGAATGAGACAGGGAAACAAGATAAAAGACCCAGTATGGTGTGGTGGACTGGTGGCTGATGAATTCAGAAACCACCCTCGTGGTCTCTCAAGTGACTAATAGAGGCAGAAATTTCATTTTGCAAGTGGCTGATTTAATGATCCAAAGGGTAATTAATGGCCTGATTATCTTAATGTTAAATATGGCCAGCAGCAATTACACTGACCTCCCGCCTGTCAAGGTCTGGGCTATTCGCGCCTTTCAATTAGGGCCCCGATTGTGCGGGGGCGCAGGGGTGCTGGAGTGGAAGGCCGTGTCTCGCTTTCCCCTCAGTTTCCCTGGCTGGAAGGGGTTGGGGGATGGACGATTCCCCTCACAGTCCTGTTAGGGTTACCCTGGATCTGCTGTGAGGTTCTAATGAGGACTGTCAGCAGAAGGTCTTTATTGGTGTCCCTCAGCCTCAGGTTATGGTTGGGGTTTGGGGTCGGGGGGTTTGGTCTCCAGCACTAATGTTGTTCATGCCGTGTTATAATGACTTTATGTCTGATGAGGTTACTGTGAGTAAGCTGCGTCGTGTCAGTGATTGGGCGATTACTTTGATTGCTTGGCACTGCAGTAGCTATATACTCATTTTGACCATTCCACACTGCGGAACTTGTATGCTTGCTTTGAAAGCTCCATGCTGTGGTACCTATGTGGTCGCTTTGACCGCTCCACATTGCGGTCCCTGTCTGCTCGCATTGACTGCTCCATACTACGGTCGCTATGAGGTCACCCTGGTGACCCGGCAAGCATAGCCACAGTTGCCAATGTGTGTAGCTGTTTCCACTGGAATAATTTAATCACGACTCCCAGTTCTACCCGCCATCATATTGTAGCCAGTTAGTTTAAAATACCTAGTGTCTCTTCAGACGTCACCAGTAATCTGAGAAAAATTCCCTCAGCTCGGAAACAGGTCCCACTGCTTTCCCGTCTGAAGTAAGCAGAGATGGGTTTGAAACGCTGACCGCGAGGTTCATGTGGGCTGGGCCCTGCTGCACCCGCCGGCTGCCAGGCCTTAATTACACAGCTGAGGCACGGCGCCCCCCGAGCAGCCAGACTGGCGGAGCGCTCGGGCTGACGTGCTCCGTGATGGATGCACAGGGTGCAATAATTCAAAGCTGGATTTAGTGTATGAGAAATACTGAGATTAGTCTCTCTTTTTTCAGGAGAAAACGTGACATTAAATGGGTAAAAATGAGAAGAGGCTTTTAATCTGGCCTGGGGTGCAGGTGTCAGCCCCCCAAAAGCCATGCTGGCTATTGGGCCCTGGGGACCATTTGTGGGGGTGGAGAGCAGAGAGAGGCCCCCCGATGTAATTACCCCCCCCCCCCCTCCCTCCAATCATATGAGGTCTGCTCATCGTTTATGCAGTTGTGTCATCTGTGCTCGACCTCGCTGCTTGTACTGGCCATGTCTGGCATTTCTCCTTCCATGCAGATGAATAGCTAGTAAATCCTGTCCTCTCAGCCAGTCAGTCTGTACATGTTTGTTTTGAAGTAGCCATTGGTGTATTCACTGAGGTTGCATGTCTGTGTATGTGTTAGGTTACCATAGTGGTGAGCCACACTCCCAAAGTATTGATTTTTGCTGTAGGAGAGCCTTTGGCCACCCTGTTAGCTGTGATCCAGTTCTCCTCGGGGTCGACATGTCCCATTGCCTGCCCTGGCCTCTGAGCTGGACCCACACTGATCGCTCCCTTCGCAGTTAATTACACACAATCTCTGACTTTTTTTTTTTTTTCCTACCCTCCTCTGCCGGCTAATTGAATTAATTATCCGGGGCTTGGTTCTTACAGCTGGGGCCAGTGGGTCATTAATGAGGCTTGTGTCATGCCCCCCCGCCCCCCCCCAGGCTGACTAAGTGCCCGCAGGCGTGTGACGTGCGACACGCTTGTTTTCAGTGGGTGTATTTTATTCATAGTGACACTGTTCTTCAGCAGTAACCTTGCTGGTATCGAAGCTGTATTCATGATGGAGCCCCGAACGTAAATTACAGATATGCTGGGAAGAGAACTTCTTTTTAAAATACATGCCTGGCTGTGGGTTGTGGTTTGTTTTGGTGAATGTTAATCGCGTGATATTCATACACTATTTTGTACTTCAGATTTTTGCCTGCTTCTACATATGAAAGTTACGTGTTGCATGGAGGATGTCTTGGGTCGCGTGATAAGGAAAATGTCACCATTAATAGAAGCCTTATATTTGTGATGAGCACAGTCTGAGTGATGTAACAGTATCAGGTTTCCAGACAGTGTCTGTCATTCAGAAAACATCTGGTGTCCATTTTCAGTTTAGAGCATCTGTACGTCAGGGAATCTCGGTTACGTCGAGGATGTTTGTGTCAGGCAGTCTCAGTCAAATCAAGTAAGTTTGTGTCAGGCAGTCTCAGTCAAATCAAGTAAGTTTGT